TATCTATCTATCTATCTATCTATCTATCTATCTCTATCCATCTCTATAATTATTTATCTATCTGCATCTCTCTATCATTATGTATTATCATCTATTTTATCCATTCATCTGCAAGCAATTTTAACAAAAATGTGTCTGATGTCAACAGAGAAATGATAAAATATTGTAAAAATAGCAGCCTTGTCAAAGTCTTGATTGAAATTACCCAATCTGATTCAGATAGTAACAGTAATGATGATGCTGATGATGGTGATGCTGATATTAATAATCCTGCAATTTTCTATTGTAACAAGGGGGGACAGAATGATGGCAAAAAGGGAGTGGTGTTTACAGCGCAATGGCACAACACTGTTCTCACCATTTTGACAAAAGTAGGAAGCTTCCAAAGGTACCCATGTATCTGCATCAATGTTTAAATGGTCTCTGTTTTAAAAAAAACCCATTGAATCTAAATTGGATGGGTAGGCCTTGTAGCTCAATGTGGAGATCTCAAAAACATTTTCTAGATAGTCTGTAGCAATCTAGAGTCTAGTAACACTGTTTGGACTTCAAGGAATGATGGAAGCTCCAGAAAGACTGGTGCATGCTTCTACCTTGCTGCATGGGCTGCATTTCTGCATTTCTGCCATTTGGAAACTTTCTTCTTCTTCTTCTTGTGCCATATCCATTATTGGACGTTGGCGATCATGTTGGCGATCCTGTTTTTATCAGCAGCCGCATGAAAAAGTGCTGTTGAGTTTTGTCCAAACCAGTCCCTTAGATTTTGAAGCCACAATGTTCTTCTTCTGCCTGGACCTCGTTTGCCTTCAATCTTTCCCTAGAGGATTAAATAGAGTATGGAAACTTAGTAGTTCTAAACCATAGTACAAGTAGTCCTTGACTTACGACAACACTAGAGCCCCAAATTTCTGTAGCTAAACAAGACAGTTGTTAAGTGAGTTGTGCCCCATTTTATAGCCTTTCTTGCCACAGTTGTTAAATGACTCACTGAAGTTGTTAAGTGAATCTGGCTTCCCCCATTGACCCTGCTTTCAGAAATTGTTTGGGAAGGTTACAAATGGTGATCACTTTACCCTGAGGTAGTGCAACTATCATAAATGCATGCCAGTTTCCAAGCGTCCAAATGTTGATAATGTGACCATGGAGATGCTGCAACAGTCATGTGAAAGTGTGAAAACCAGTCATACGTTACTGGTTGTAACTACAAACGGTCACTAAATGAATGGTTGTAAGTTGAGGTCTTCCTGTGCTATAGATCAGTGTCTACATATGTCTGTTAACAGGAGGATAATCATGGCATGATCTGCACCATTATGTCAGGCAATTCAATTCTTGACATAAAAGCTGTTGAAGACATATATAAATCTCTAAACCGATGTCTCAATAATTTTTCTGCAGATACCACATCAGAAAAGAAATTTGTGGAAGACTTTATTGCTCTTGTCCGTGGAGGGGCCAGTGAACACATTACAACACTTGCAAACAAAGACTTGCCCAATGCAGAACTGATGCAAGAGTGGGGGGATGCTGTTCAGTACAACCCAGAGATTATCCGAATGAAGGTTGTATAAAACATTTGTTCCATAGCAAGTTGTATTAACCAGCCTCAGGATATTCAGGATGGGGGGAAAAAATATAGGATCAAATTGGTGAGGATCCCTGGTGGTGCAATGGTTAGAATGCAGTACTGCAGGCCAACTCTGCCCACAGCCTGGAGTTTGATCCTGATGGGCTCAAGGTTGACTCATCCTTCCATCCTTTGAGGTCAGTAAAATGAGAGCTCAGATTGTTGGGGGACAATATGATGACATTGTAAACCGCTCAGAGAGTGTTGTAAAGCAGGGGTCCCCTACCCCCAGGCCACGGTCCACCTCCAGGTTTTGAGCCATTCAGAACCTGGCCATGGAAGTGGCAGGCAAGAGCGAGCGTGCATCCCCACTTGCGCAAACAATGGGCAAGTGTGTGTGCACATGCTCCATTTGCGCAAGTGGCAGGCCCAAGCTTGCCCACCAGTTGCACAGAATCTTCCCCTCCCCCCCCAGTTCGCAAAGACGTAAAGATAGTGCAAAGCACTATGGGGAGGTATATAAATCTAAGTGCTATTGCTAGTGCTATTTTTATTACCTGATAGAAAACAGTGACAACTTTAAAAGTTTGGAGTCCACCTATTGCTAGCGAAGTCCAAAAAAACCTCCTGAAAATCAGACGACTCTACTGAATGGAGCGGGATGGGGAGCAGGTGTTGAGGATAAAAGATGAAATGCTGAAAACTGAAGAAAGCTACAGAGAGCAGCACTGTGTCATTTTTAACAATCCTTTCACTCCATGTAGGTGGCTCCTTTTTAATTCATAGTAGCTGCCGAAGCATTGGTGTGGATAAGTCCTTTTCTGGTTGAATGCTTTTGCCAAAGCCTTTCAGGATCTAAGCCAATGCATCCACTCCCTGGAGTGAGAGTGGAAATCAAATATGAAATCTGTAATCGGTCCAAATTTGAACATTATAAACTTGCCTGATTTCAAAATCTGTTGACCCTGTTGAACAAATAAGAAAATCAGCTGATGTCCTTTAGAAAAGATATATATATCAGCTGGCATAAAAATGCGTGAACACCAGGAAGTTTATAAAACTATAAAAGTTTAATAAAACACAATACCAAGCTTTCACTGGCAACTGTCAGCATCATCAGGGTAACTTCCAGTCGATGGGGAAGCCTTTTATGGATATGGCGATCTTTGCACCCGGCTCCTAGATCTCGTTACCGGTCCCAGCCAATCCACCTGCATTTTGATAGTAATTTCTGTATTGCTAGCCATTGCTTTCTTGCTTTCCTTGCTTGTATGCCTGTCATCATGCTTCCCCCCCCTCTTCCTGTGACTGTGCAGTATGACTAAAGTACACTCCTGGGTTGTTACCTGTTGCTTTATCCAATTTTCATCTAGTAAGAGTTTGCAATTTAATTTGCCTAGCTTACATGTAATCAGAAAAGGGAGGTGGAGGCAATTACAATTAAATGCAATAGGAAATGTTCCCAAGCTGGGAATATTCCAGTTCTGGGGAAAGAATTAGACAAGACTTTTAGAAAATGAAATTATTTTCAGGAAGTCATATCACTGAATATTTAGCATAAAGTCAGGGTTGTTCTCCTTTTAGGAAGGCTTTTGCTTGATTGGATTGTCCATTTTGGTTTGAAGAATCAAAGGCAATTCACCCAGAGCTGTAAAACGAAACCTAATACTGAATTGAACAGTTGAACCCCATTAGGCCATCAAACTGGAAATCTTTGGATCTACAATAAACAAAGTATCCAGAAGCTTTTGCTTTTGTGTGCAGAAGATTTTTCCAAATTGGAAATCTGAATTGATCCAGTTCAGTTTGCACTTCTAAATCAAACTTGACCGCAATTTGTGGTGGCAACAGTCAGTACAGATATAGAAACACTGATAGTCTTCTTGGAAGAAGATTACAAGGTGATGGAGGAAGTAATGTATAATTAATTAATATAATGTATTAATTATACCTTAATATAATGTATAATTAATTAATTTCAAACACTGCAGCATTTTTTTTAAAAAAAAAAGAAATTTCCAATTAGTCAACATGTCTTGAGATCACAGAGGTCTATTGGGGAAGAAAAAAATCTAATGCTTATTTGCAGCTGCAAGTATTTTGTTCTCGGTGCTTTTGAGGAGCAGACTTTATGATAAATTGTCTATGATAAATAGACAATTATTACTACAAAAGAAGATCCAGCCATTAATGTTACAGCACACACTGCCTCCTCTGTATCAGTGCATTGTCAGGCACGATCTCAGTAGCTGCTGTTATCTTTCACACAACTTTCCACCTTTTTCTCCAATCTGTGGCTTTACAAGCAAAATATGTCTGCCAAGGATGCTGTAGAAAATGTCTATGGAGATTCTCAGTCATCTAGGTCATGGTTGTCCCAAAGGTGCTTTTTCACGAGGCAACTGGCCCTTCTTTTTTCTCTTTGAAGACGTTTCACTTCTCATCCAAGAAAATTCAGCTTCAGCTTTACCTTCAGCTTCAGAGTTGAAGAAGCTTCTTGGATGAGAAAGTGAGAAAAAAGAAAGGCCAGTTGCCTCAAGAAAAAGCACTTTTGGGTTGCTGTAGAACAGGGGGCCCCAATCTATGGTCCACGGCCTGGTACTGGCCCACAGCCTGTTGGCCACTGGGCCCCAGGAATAGCTGGTGAGCCCCGCCCCACTTGCAGTAGCACCACCATGCGGGCACTAGCAGCCCCATTTGCACATGTGTGGGAATGCTAGCACCATGGCCAATGTCATGTGGGCACCAGCGGCTCGTTTTTGCATGTGCCATGGGCGCGCATGGCCCATTTGCACATGTGCATGCACACTATCGCTGTCAGCATGCACGTGCCTGTTTATGCATGCATGGCCATTTGCACGTACGCAGCTGCGCACACACACATTTCTCTGCTGCTCCCTTTCCTTCCAGGCCACCAAGCCAGAAATTTTGGGGAACTCTGTTGTAGAAACAACTGACATTCCTTGCAGAATAAAGGGAGGTGATCAAGCCATCTTAAGAGCAGAATACTTTATTCATTCATTCATTCATTCGTTCGTTCGTTCGTTCGTTCGTTCGTTCGTTCGTTCGTTCGTTCATTCATTCATTTATTTATTTATTTATTTATTTATTTATTTATTTATTTATTCAATTTATACTGTCATCTATCTCACATTCATGACTATTTATATGAATATAGCTCCACATTTCCCTCTTGCCATCTATTTTAAATTAATGGTAGGAGATGGTGAATTGTGTTTGCATGGCTTCACAGGGATGGGTAACGGCTACACTCCAAACGAGATCACCTTGGTGGATTTACTGCTTCAGCCCCTTTAGATGTTTGAGTTCTGATGATGTCTGGCACTTTCTGGCACTTATGCTCCCATGAAAGTTTTAACATAGACCATTAATGAAATGAATCACTTCTTCATGTCAGTTCTAATGCCCTGTCGTGGGATCAAGTCTCAATCCATCCACAAAGGATAAAGTTGTCTTCATCTCCATTGCCTAGAGGGATGTCTCATATTTCTTGGTCGGATTGGGAAAAGCCCTGGATCTGAAACCTATGGAAACCTCCACCTCTTATCATAAGCTATTTATTTATTATTACATTTGTTTGCTCCCCATCTCACCACCAGGTAATTCTGGGTTGCTTACAATAAACTATAGTGAGCGCTGTGGTCCATATCTTTTGAATGGACATATTTAGAGATATGTGTTCATACATAGAAGAGATGAACAGGCCCTCTCTCTCTGCTCTTGATAGGTGGAGCCTCTTTACAATTTAATTTCTGCAAATACTTTTGCCAATGCTGCTACACTGAAACAAAACATGAAGCTTGCCCTTGAGGAGTTCCGTCAGGAAACAAGTGACTGCAGATGTGCTCGGTGCCAGGGCAATGGAACCCCATTTTTGAAAGGTAAGTTTGTGTCCTCTGTTGATTTGTCTAATATCTGCGATGAAAATGCAGTTTGCTTCAACTTTCTCCTTGTTCCCATCCTCTATAAGAAAGTAAGATATTTCTCTAAATGTCACAATTGTTTCACTGGCAGCATAGCAAGATAAGAAACTTTACCACTTTGGCAAGTATAATGGAATCTTAATCATTTACATTTAAGAATGTCTCTTCCAACCCAATTAGGCATTAAACACAGCATTGCAATCTGCTTAAAATCTCTTTCGGAAATAACTTTGCTACATTTACTAGAGCACTAGCTCTCTGGCCATTAATTAGTGCTTCTCCCATCTCTTGGAAGAGGAAACGCCATCTGCAACTGCTAAAAATGGTTATCGTGATCATTACTGGAGATTGTGCACTGGGTGTTTCCCCCTGTTTCCAGGGGGAGGCTTTTCAAAATCACTTTTGAATTGTGGCTAGGAAAGACAAAGCCGGATTAAGGGGCAGACAGATGTTTTGTAAACATGTAGCATGGCATTATATATCTGGATTTGTGTTACTGTATATACGGTATGTATGCATTTATTTGTTTGTTTGTTTGTTTGTTATATGCTGCCCATCTCACTATCAGACAACTCTGGGTGGCTTATAATGTCAAAAATGGCAGTGTACAACTAAAAAATTAAAGCATTAAAAACATTAGACATTAAAACATTCAAAATTAACATCAGAAGGAGAATGCAGATACAAAAGCCCAATGTGTAAACAGGATGGAGGTGAGATCTTCTCTTATTTTACTAGCCACTCCCGGAATGGGACACCCCTGTCGGAGCCCCAGGCCAATTGGCAGAGCTAGGTTTTCAGGCCCTTTCAGAAGGCCAAAAGGATGGAAACAAATCTCACCTCAAGGGGCAAGATGTACCAGAGAGTGGGCACCATAGCAGAAAAGGCTCTTCTCCTGGATCCCGCCAGCCACAATTCCTTGGCCAGTGGAATCTGCAGCATGCCCCCTCTGCTGGCGCAAGATGGACAGGCCAATCCTATTGGAGTAGGCTCAGTGGCTCAATGGTTTAGTGATACTGGAGATGGTCTCTGCTCCAGTGTTTCGAGCCCTAGCAATGCATGATAGAGTGAGCTCCTGTCACTTACTGCCCACCTATGGTTCTCGATTGTGACACCATTTGTGAGGTGGCTCTGGTGGAGGGCAGGGGACTTGGATGATGCTGCAGGAAGAGATGGTAATCTTTCTTCCTGGTGCAAAGCTAGCTCTCCCTCCTTGGCACACTTTGCAAAGTTCGGTGAGCATGTGCCACAACAGAGCTAGTAAAATTGGCACCAAAATACTACTATGCATTAGCATTGCATTCTCCTGGCTAATGTAACAGCGCCATGCGCTAATAATAATCCTATTGGTGTGAGGCAATTCCTCTGGTAGCCTGGACCCATGCCAAAAAGGGCTTTAAATATAATACCAACAATACCTTGAACTGGACCTGGAAGCAGACTGGCAACCAGTGCAGTTCATGCAACTGTGGTGTTACATGGGCCACCCTAGAGGTACTAAAACTATTTGCCTTCTACATTTTGTGGAAATTTAGCTTCTGAATGTTCTTCCAGGGTAACTGGGGGAATGTGGAGGAGGCAAATTTTGCTAAGCACAGAGAAGGAAGTCTGGTATCTAATTTTAATCAGTCCCTTCCACTCATAGGGAGAACTTTTCCCAATTATGCCTTGTGGAACACTGACAGACCATTGGATATCTCAAGCCAATTCTTATCTCAGAACAAAGAAATGGAGACATAGCATGCTACCTTTAGCCAGCTTGGCTTCTTTGTCCCTCTAGGCTGAGCAGCCTTTAGTCTCACCCTCTCTACACTACAGTCTCTTCCCTACCTACTTATCTACTTACTGGAGTGACTAAGATCTTTTTTTCTGAATTACTTTTGCAAAACCTGCTCAACTGGCTAAATTGAATGATGTTCCCCATACGCTTGCTTCCATGCACAACCTTTAACCATGGAAATACAACTGTTCAAAACTGGATGCTAAATCATTTTGTGGGCCACTGTTCCCTTTCAATGCTCTTGCTGCTTCTTATTTCTGTTGTGTTATTCAGCAAAGGAGCTAGTATTAATAATCCACAGCTCTTCCTTAGCAGGCTAGAGATGTGGAACAGCTTCCAGCCATCCCTAGGTATCCTACATTATTTTCTTTGTTTCCTCCTATGTGCATTTTTTCTACGTGGATCTATGTGTATTGTATTCTTTTCTATATGTATCTTTGACAAGCCAAGTCCTCTTTTTTTATCTTTGTAGCCCTATAAATAGGATGGGCAATTTTCCTATGAGCAGGGCACCCCACTTAATATTTTATTATTATTTTGGGTGCGTGTCTCTGAAAATATTGGATTAATAGGGTTAACATTATTGGCTTTTGTAGAGCATGAAAAGCTTTAGTGATGGTGTAATGTTAGTGAAAACTGATGTGTGTACACTCTTGGGAACTGAAGGAGATTCAAATCACATTTGTGGTACATGTATGTGTAGATTGACTGTCTTAGTTCTAAATGATTGGTGACATACTATATATGAACTGATATTTATTACATAATTGGAGCTGATGTATTTTCCATCTGTGCTGTTGGATTTCATGCCAGTCATATTAATGAAATTATATCTGTCCTAAATATTATTGTTATGTTTTATCTAACATTAATTATTCTTAAACGTGCAGTTGAGAAGTTGAAAAAGTTGAAGGTTTTACAAATCAAACCAATATCATTCTGTTAGATCTATGTTGATTTCCCCAGAAGGTTTGATAACCTCAACCATTCAGCTCTTTTTCATAACTCTGAGGAAACAGCAATGTAAAAACTATGTCTAAAAAAAAAATCTTCTTAAGTAGGTCACCCAACATCATTTGAAGTACACAAAGTTCGGCTGCCTTTCCACTTTCCACAAAACTTTGAAAAACATTTAACAGAGCAGATGGAGAAATCATATAAAATGATGTGTTAACCTTCAATTAATTCAAATGTAATTATATTTAAATTGAAATCAAATTTAGAGAGGTTTTTTTTTCCTGACTCCATCCACTTCTTGAAGTAAGCTCTCCCCTCTACCCCAACAGGACGTTCAAAACCCAAGTGCAGTCCTTAATATCCCAAATACTTGCTCACCCTGTGTGTGGTTTCTGGATCATTGGATATATATGGCTCTGTAATAGATAAACATGGTGTGCAATTTTGTACTGAGTTGCAGATAGGAGCGATGCATTCCCCTGGTTCCTTTGCTCAAGTGTGATTAGACGCATAAGAAGACAAATTCCTTGTGTGTCTAATCACACTTGACCAAATAAAGTATTCAGTTCAATTCAATTCAATACCATGTCATCTGTTGTCTTTGTGATAACAATATCTTTGGGCAGGACTGAAATGGTTTCCCTTGTCATCTGCTCAATTAATCCTTTCAATTACCTCTCAGTGGTCTTTGCAAGCATCTGAAAATTGCCTTGGAAATAGTTCTGTTTCTATTTTTTCCTTTTAGAGACTCGCTGCGAATGCATTTGCCCACTAGGACATGAGGGTACTGCCTGTGAAAGAACACAAAGAACAAGTAAGAGAAAACAGGGTGACACCCCACCCTCCACCCTTATTTATTTTTTTCCAAAGCAAAGTAGCCGTTGACTGTAGTGTTGTACTTGTGTTGCACCTGTAGCTTTTTGTGTTGCAAATATAGTTTTGTTATAACCATATAATCCCCAGACTGGTACCAAATGAGTTCTAATGTGAAAAAAAACATTAACACATGAACATCAGGGCAAAGTATTAAAGTGTTAAAATGCTTGCTGGAGCAAATCCTCATTCTGGAAACATATATGGGGCTAAAAGTTTGGGATCTGTATCTGTGTCCTTTCCTTTTCATGCTTTGGCCTGTACTATGTAAACTACTTCAAATGCTGCTTTTCCAAGTGGGTTGGTATGTGCAAAGCGTGCCTTCTCCGAACTTTGGGAGAAAGTGACTTAGATATTTTCCTCTCTGGTAGAGAGAGAATAGACGAATATTCTGCAGGGAATAGATGAATATTCTCTACAACTTCTAACATTTTCCTCTATTCTCTGCACATACCTGTGTGTGCACAACCAATGGGCCAATGGCTCCCACAGAATGTTTGGCCTTCCTGTTTGTCCCACCATTGAAAATATGAAGCCATGAGATTTCCTGTGATGGTCTACTACAGGTAGTCCTCAACTTACGACCACAATTGAGCCCAAAATTTATTTTGCTAAGTGAGAAATGTATTGAATTTCGCTTCATTTTATGACTTTCCTTGCCCCATTTTATGACTTTCCTTGCCACACTTGTTAAGTAAAATGTTGTTGTTAAGTTAGTAACAGTTAGTAACACGGTTTTTAAGTGTTCCACACTAATTTATTTCAGTCAAGACACATGGATAGCAATATTACAATATTTTTGAATGTTTTTTTCCCTCTCATTTTAGGAATTCTGCTGTAGTTTATATCAAAAAATATAAAATATGATTATGGTTTCATTTATTAATCTACGTCAGACATGTCAAACTCGTGACATCACATGATGTCGTGCGATGTGCCGGCAATGGGGTAGGCACGGTTTCCTGGTGACGTGTCTGGCCTATGGGCCGGCAGTTTGACACCCCTGATCTACGTAGATCAAACCAGAATTGTGAAAATTAGGACTGACATTGCTTTATCATTTGACCTCATAACATCACCATAATTTTATTTCTCCTTTTCTCCCCCCAGATGTTCCAATAGATGGAAACTGGAGCTGCTGGTCCAGCTGGAGCCCAAGTAGTGGAAGACAAAAATCTAGAAGCCGGGAATGTAACAACCCTGCTCCCCAAAATGGTGGCAATCCTTGTCCAGGGCCAAGTCATGAAACTACTTAATGGTTGTGTTGAAAAGCTATTTGTAAAGAGAAAAAAAATGCAGGTTACTGAGTTTTGTTCATAAATCCCAACCTAAGCAAACATTGGGATGATGGATTAAATGTTAAATGTTAGCTCAGTCCAGTTTAGAAATTATTTTTCAGATGCGGAAATGTATGAATGAAATACAATAAACTTTGGAGCCTACAGATGAGGTACCACACGTTAACTTTTGGATTAAAAATGCAGATCATATAGCCGAAGTTTTAAACCTGTTTGATGAGTGTTTATTATGCCAGTCATGAGAGAGCTTAAGGGTGCAGAAGCACCTTGCAATATTAAAGGTCATCATCTGCCTTTGCAGCATTAAGAAATATTGACCTTTTTCAGATAGTTAAGCAAAGCAACTTCTAGCAAGAGCAGATTACTTATTTTTCTATCAATGTAACAATACAGCTTTTCTAATAGTCACTTGAGGGTATTTCTAGCTGGATACCTAGGATAAATGAAAGCTTAAATCTCAATCAAAGCAGCCTCATCAAATGTGAAACTTGAAAGCAATGTGACAATATATCCAGTTTCCCATTTATTGCCTCAAACGTAGCTAATTTAGCCAATTAGGTAGGTTTTTTAAAAAAAAGAAAAGAAAAGAAAAGAAAATATAGATTGTGAACTTCTTTCAAATACCTCTGTGACCCTCTAGTTTCTTAGCTGTCTAATAATGATACCATATGTTTGTTCATCTCATGAATTCTCCCAGCAAATTACTTTTTATAAGTATAAATATTGACAAGCATTTTGCAACTTCATATAAACACAAAATAAAATTAATGAAATTCATAAAGGTCATAGGAAAATACTTTGAATTTCTGCACAATAAAATAGATTGATCGTTGCCTTGCGCATTCAGGAACCTTGCATCTGGCGGACCATTGTCAAAGGAAAGTAGAGATCCTGATAAGTACTTTGAAGGGCGTAGTTATCAAGATTTACAGCTTCTCTTCTGCCCAGCCGGAAGAGAGGGATCACAACAGTCCTCCCCTCTTGCTCCCCTGTTGCATGACATTTACAGAAGACAGCAGATTGAGTCTGAAACAACAATACCTGGATCAACAGGCAGAAGAGATCATAGATGGCAGGAGGGCATGGCCATGGAGTAAGGGTTAATCTAAATCTACTCCATTATCTGGAAGGTTTGAGCGAGTGCTTTTACCTAAAGGCTTTCATACACCATTTCAAGAGTATCCACTTATATTGGCCAGTTTTCATTAAGAATAAACTAATCCAGGCAGGGGAGGAGGAGGGGGCTAATTCACAATTCAGGATTCAACTCCACAAGAGGACTTCATGTTTACCTTGGGCCCTAAATCATCATGTTGCATTTTTAGAGCCTGATGAGGTTTTAACTTATAGAACTATCTCTCTGGTGCTAATAAGAACCATTTTAGGACTGTTTTCTCTTGGTTAATGGGTTGGAAATGAGGTTCTGTATTTTCAGATGAAGTCTTTCCAGATGCTATTTCTAAATACTGTATTTGGGATCAATTCAATCACCAACATGTTTTAGGTATCCCTGCTAGCATTCGAAATACATAGAGAAATATCTAAATATATTTTGAGAGAGAGATACGAATGGGGAGTTTAGAGTTTGAATTGCATTGCATACATATAATCTCACCACATCCTTTGCATAGGAAATCTTTCCTGTCTATCTCAGCGCATCTAATCTTTTGGTGGATCTGTAGGGCCAATGCTATGATTCCTTATCATCCAAACTGCCTTCTTTTTAGAGGAATTGACTTCTGCTGCTAGCCCCATCAAAATAAGTGAGATCAAAATATGCAGTTAAATGCTTAGAAGGCATGTAGTTACCTAGGTGGAATGTATGCTGATTCCTGACTTTTTTAGACCACAATGGCTTAAATGCATGCAACACAATTGCACCAGCTTCTATCATATTTATTGCCATCCTTCTGCAAAATCCTCATTTGAGAGCTTAATGAACTGCATGTTTTAACCATTCTTAACATTCATTTGGGTCACTGATTTCAAAACAGCACAAGGCTCCATCTGTCATCATCCTTTGCACTGTATTTTATTTCGGCGTGTCAGTTTGTAATTTTCTTTTAAAATGGAATTGCTCATTTCATCTGTTTCATAGGTTTTGGTGAGAATATACGTTCATTATGTAGCACAAATTGGATCCATCACATGTGAGAGAGAGAATAGCAAAGGTTAGAATAACCTTAGGTATTGCAATAAGGTATGAGATTCTGTGTTGGGGTACTACTCTGATCATTATTTGTTATTTTATGGCAATTTTCCTCCCTTCCTCCTTATAAACAATAAAATATGCTATTATTTTCTTTCCTCCCTCCCTCCCTCCCTCCCTTTCTTCCTTCCTTCCTCTTTCTCTCTCACTTTCTCTCTCTTACGCACACATGCACATTCTGTCCCTTAATGGTATGTGGGAATACATTGTATAAGAGGCAGCTTAGCTTGCAAAAGGAATGAATGTAGCTAACATCTTGGACAAGACTATTTCTTGGGCTATAAATGTGACACTGGAGAAAAGTACTTCCAGACTTACAAGATTGTTGTCAGCCTTGCGAGGTTGTCCAGACAGGAAGCACACCCAGATGGACTAATTGTCATGGCTGACAATTGTAATTACTTTATGGTAAGATTACATTAACAGAAACTGAAGGTATATTACCCCCATCACCTTTACAGCCCAAGAAACACAGAGGGTCCCTTCTGAGACATTTGCCCCAGCTCCATTCCTTCTGTGGGCTACCCCTGTCTCCCAAGGCCATTCCCACATACTATTACAGTCCCATATACTACCTGTTCTCAAGTGCTTACCTAGAGCATTTTCTTCTGTGTGGTTTCCAGAGGACTATGAAAAGGATTAACTCCTTTTCCATGTTGACTGTTCTTGGTTAGAGCACCAGGGTAAAAAAAATCATCAGCTTTTGACAACAGACAGAAACTGTTACCTATATTCAAAACATGTTTGGTGAGAACTAGAATGAGGGATTTTTGGATTTCATTTCCCAGTTGTTTGAATTTTGAGAATGCATTTTGTTCATAAATGCTGACCTGTTAGTCTTTACAGAAATGTAGCTTAGAATACCATTGCTTTCATACAGTGTTTTTCACACTTGGCAACTTTAAAATGTGTGGACTTCAACACCCAGAATTCCTGAGCCAGCATGCTATATGGACAATTCTGGGAGTTGAAGTCCACACATCTTAAAAGTTATCAAGTACTACATTAATGACTGTTTTTTTTACTGGTATTATAAAATACATTTATTGTTTTAATGTTTTTTGTTGTTTTGAATCTTATTTTACATGTGTTAGCCACAAGGAACAAACTTTGATCAAGAGGCAAGATAGAAAGTTAATGGCTAACCCATTAATATAAATGAATCAAGTTATGAAATAAAAAGGTAGATATATCCTCAGGTTAAGGACACCTCCTGATGATGGCATGGAGACACGCAGTGACTTGTCACTGCTTTTACTGTTTGGTTTTTCTTTTAAGTCCGGGGTCTGGCCTATAGCTTCCCATTTGATTATTAACCAGATCTGACCTTGCTTAATTTATGAACCTAACAAGGTTAGGAAGATGCTGAAACTTACTTTATGAAATACACGTGCTCAAAGAAACTTCTTTTTTTTACCGGTAATCACACATGCCTTCATATCTGAAGCAAAATATCAATATACTTCCTTTCTTTTCAAGATGCATTGAGATATCTAAACGCTGCTCCTATAGAATCCGCTTCCAAACTGCCATTTCCTATGGATTTATTTTAGCAAATAAATTCTCTGCTTTCTCATTAGCTTTCCTCCATTTCAGAGATGCTCATCACTTTTCAAGCAGAAACTCAAAACTGCCCAGTTGGACAAGAGTGAAGTCTCTTATGTAAATTCCCCCATCTTTTCTAGCATAAATATGAAGCAGGACTGCTAGAAACTCAGGGGTTCATTAAGTACCTATCAGTTGCATCCGATGTCTGAAACACACACCACATCATAATGCTGAATGCCTCACTGAGCTAAAATAAATCAGGATTTTTGACAGCAGGGCCGCCCTGGGGAGCTGGGTGGGAGGGCAGAAATACAGCAAAGAAACTTTTGAAGGATCAGTAAAGCATTTATCCCATTAGACGTATACTGTGTGTGAGTCTGGGGGGAGGGGGGAACAGCCCAAAGGACAAGGATAACCAAAATGTTTTGCAGGGTCCTCTTAACTCATACAACAGTCTTTCTAGAGTCACAATATTCTGCAGATTAATTGGTCAGACAAAATCAATTTTGAATTGTCCACAAATATGCCCTTGGTTTATCCCACTTTAGTCTGGCAAACAGCAGTCAAAATAGCAGATATTCTGTCAAATGTATGCTTGTTTGTTTCTCCTAGTGAGCAGATCAGCACATATTTATTTGGTATTAGTAGAGTAGTCCTTGATTTAGGAGCACAATTGAGCCCCAAATTTTCCTTGCTAAACAAGGCAGTTGTTAAGTGAATCATGTGCCATTTTATGACCATTTTTGCCATAGTTGGTAAGCAAATCAGTACGATTGTTAAGTGAATCATGAAATCATTAGGTGAATCCAGTTTCCCCCATTAACTTTGCTTGTTGGAAAGGTTGCAAATGACAATCCCCTGGGATGCTGCAGCCATCAAAAATACATGTCAGTTGTCAAGCATACAAACTTTGATCATGTGATTGCAGGGCTGCTGCAATGATCATAAGTGTTAGAACAAATCATTTTTCAGTGCTGTTGTAACTTTGAACAGTCATTAAACGAATGGTTGTAAACCAAGGACTATCTGCTTGTAACTTCTCCGCAGGTTCCTGGTCAAAAATGAGCAATCTTGAAACTGACAGGTATTTTTTCCCTTCTTCTTCTTTTCTGTTGAGTAAGCTTTTAAAGCCCCAGACAACTTTTTTTCCTCTTTGTCTTTCTTTCATTTTCTCTGGAATGCTGGGAGGAAGAAGGTGAGG